CTGCAGGCGTGGCACCTTCTCGACACCATGGAGGGTGCGCATGGGGTGGTCCGTCACCATGGTCTCTATCCGTCTTAGGGTCGCAAGGCGTGGCAGGCGTGGCACTTTCTCGACACCATAGGGGGTGCGCACGAGGTGGTCACTCACTGTGGTCTCTATCCGTCTCGGGGTCGCGAGGCGTGGCAGGCGTGGCACCTTCTCGACACCATGGGGGGTGCGCAGGGGGTGCTCCGTCACCGTGTTCTCTATCCGTTTCAGAATCGCACGGCGTGGCAGGCGTGGTACTTTCACGACACCATGGAGGGTGCGCACGGGGTGGTCCTTCACCGTGCTCTCTATCCGTCTCAGGGTCGCAAGGCGAGGCAGGCGGGGCACTTTCTCGACCCCTTAGGGGGTGCGCTGGGGGTGGTCCCTCACCGTGGTCTCTATCCGTTTGAGGGTCGCAAGGCGTTGCAGGCGTGGCACTTTCTCGACACCGTAAGGGGGTGCGCAGGGGGGGGTCCCTCACCGTGTGATCTCCATCCGTCTCAGGGTCGCAAGGCGTGGCAGGCGTGCTCAACGCCGCAGAAGGTGCGCAGGGGGTGGTCCCTCACCGTGGTCTCTATCCGTCCCAGGGTCGTGTGGCGTGGCAGGCGTGGCACTTTCTCCATGCCACAGGGGGTGCGCGGATAGGTGGTCCTTCACGCTGAATTGCTCACACCTCAGCTCAAGCAGTTTGAGAAAACTTTGTTTTGCACGCTGGCGCGTCGGGCGTGAATTGCCTCAGCCATGGCGCCCAAATGCGCCGTCGCGGCACTGCTGCCGCCGTCTTCCCCCGGGGCCCCGCGACCCAGCTTCAGAGACGCCGATCGCGCTCTCCGATGCCGCAGGTGCACGAGCATGTTGAACGCATTAGCGACGAGCATTCTCTGAGGAAAAGGGCACATGGAGTGAATGCCGCCAAGAAGAGTACAAGCTACAAGCGGATGGCGGAGAAGAGAGCGGCGTCACCCGATCACGATTGGCCTGTGAGTCCCGACCCGAAGACCTCGGCTCAGGCCCTGGACAGCAAGCGCACGTGAGAGACACTGGTGCAAGTATGGGTCGAAGAGATCCGGGTATCATCAGGGAGTCCAGAGTGCAAAGAAACCGCGATCAGTCCATGACAGTACAGTCGGGGCGCTGAAGAAGGAACCCTTCTCGTTGGCGAGGGGCTCGGTGTTCCTTGTTTGTTTTACAGTCTGCCTCAGGTATTCCATGGAAAATCGAAGTTTGACTTATGGGAAAAAGGGTCCTCGTTCCTTATTTAGGGATCCTTCGGTCAACGCCCCGAAAGTACGCGCTCTAGCTGACAGGTTATGCGACGAGGGTGCGCTGGGGCGCGGCGCCTGCCTCCTCGCTGGGGTTCGCGGAGGCCTTCTGCCGAGCGCGCCCGCCACTCCTCCCCGCCACTTTGCGCGCGCGCGAACCCGAGGCTTGCTGTCGACAGGCTTCGCCTCGCGCGTAGATCCCCGAACCGAATTGTTTGGGCGGCCGCAGCAGCGTTGGCCCCGGGGGACTTTCGGTTGAAGCGGCGGCGTGCGAACCGTTTCCTGTGCGACGCTTTAAAAATTCAGTTCCCCTTGGCATTGCAGACGTCCCGGTCGGCGCGGCATGTGAGGCCCCCGAGGCTTGAACCGCGCCGCTTTCGACGTCAGCGAAGCAACGGCTACGAGAAACATGCTCGCAGGTTTTACGTCAGTTACCATCGAGCAAGACACATGATAAGTACGCGGATTCCTCGGTCGCGTAGTTCGACACTCGGTTTTGACATCGCTACGACACCGAAGGTTCTTGACGGATTCCAGCATGTGTGCGCGACGACGCGCGAGCACATCGCCCCATCATTTGCAAAAGGGTTCTCGCAACGGCACGCGCGCAGGGGCGTTCGAACGATTTTGACATGCGCGCGCGAAGCCCGTGTGGTAACCTGCTCCGAAAATGTTGAAGCAACCTATGGGTTTTCCTAACAATTCGCCAGAGCGCGCTTAAGCTTTTTTTGAAGCCCCGCGTTGCGAAACCCAGGGCTTCTATATGTTTTTCGGGCACTCGATTTTGAAATCCTTGCGCAACCGAAGATTGTGTGGAAGAATTTCGGCATGCGCGCGCGACGACTCGCGCATGCGCAGTTCGTCACATGTTTCGCAAGGGACTCTTGACAACTTAGGGTTTTGTATAAGACGAGTGCGTGCGCATAGTGTTGCTTTTGCGCAGGATGGCGGGGGGGGGGTACCGTTTGGGTTGGCACGGTGCGAGCTCATATTAATGATGGACGTTGGGGCAGAGTCATATGTAAATTGCGATACGAATGCGGGGGACGATAATCTCGGGGGTGGAGTTTTTTGTTTGAAACGAGAATGTAGGCGCCGTAAGTTATGTGATGAGTTTAATGAGTGGAGCAATCCTTCTGGCACAAGCTTCCTGGTGCAAGTGCTAGCGATGCGTTGCAAGCTGCTCGTTGCAATATATGTGGTGCAAGCTTCTTGGTGCGAGCTGTGTGGCGCACGAGACGAAACGCCTACGGCTGCCCACCAGGCGAAACCCCGGTATACCCAGCCAGCGTACGGGTCGCCTGCGAGCCGCCGCCCACGGCCGCTCACCAGGCGAACCTTCGCCGGATCAGGCGCCCACGGCCGACTATCAGGCGAAACCTCGGCTGACCCAGCCAGCGCAAAGAGCGACCACAAGGCGCCCACAGCCGCACACCAGGTCGTCCTCCTTTTCCTCCCCCCCTCCTCCCTCCTCCCCTCCTCCTCCTCCTCCTCCTCCTCCTCCTCCTCCTCCTCCTCCTCCTCCTCCTCCTCCTCCTCCTCCTCCTCCTCCTCTCCTCCCTCCTCCTCCTCCTCCTCCTCCTCCTCCTCCTCCTCCTCCTCCTCCTCCTAGCCGTCTTCCCCGAGGGTCAAGCGATCCAAGGGTGCTGCATCCATATACTACCCAGGGAGCCGAGGCCCATTACCAGTGCCAAGACTAGCGTTCCCCGACGGCCTTATCCTTATCTTTATCCTCCCTCCTCTCCTCCTCCTCCTCCTCCTCCTCCTCCTCCTCCTCCTCTCCTCCTCCTCCTCCTGCTCTCCTCCCTCCTCCTCCCTCCTCCCCCTCCTCCCCTCCTCCTCCTCCTCCTCCTCCTCCTCCTCCTCCTCTCTCCTCCTCCTCCTCCTCCTCCTCCTCCTCCTCCTCCTCCTCCTCTCTCCTCCCTCCTCTTCCTCCTCCTCCTCCTCCTCCTCCTCCTCCTCATCCTCCTCCTACCTCTTC